TTAGGGTTAGGTTAGGGTTAGGGTTAGGGTTAGGGTTAGGGTTAGGGTTAGGGTTAGGGTTAGGGTTAGGGTTAGGGTTAGGGTTAGGGTTAGGGTTAGGGTTAGGGTTAGGGTTAGGGTTGGGTTAGGGTTGGGTTAGGGTTAGGGTTAGGGTTAGGGTTAGGGTTAGGGTTAGGGTTTAGGTTAGGGTTAGGTTAGGGTTAGGGTTAGGGTTAGGGTTAGGGTTAGGGTTTAGGGTTAGGGTTAGGGTTAGGGTTAGGGTTAGGGTTAGGGTTAGGGTTAGGGTTAGGGTTAGGGTTAGGGTTAGGTTAGGGTTAGGGTTAGGGTTAGGGTTAGGTAGGGTTAGGGTTAGGGTTAGGGTTTAGGGTTAGGGTTAGGGTTAGGGTTAGGGTTAGGGTTAGGGTTAGGGTTAGGGTTAGGGTTTAGGGACCCTAACCCTAACCCTAACCCTAACCCTAACCCTACCCCTCACCCTAACCCTAACCCTAACCCTAACCCTAACCCTAACCCTAACCCTAACCCTAACCCTAAACCCTAACCCTAACCCTAACCCTAACCCTAACCCTAACCCTAACCCTAACCCTAACCCTAACCCTAACCCTAACCCTAACCCTAACCCTAACCCTAAACCCTAACCCTAACCCTAAACCCTAACCCTAACCCTAACCCTAACCCTAACCCTAACCCTAACCCTAACCCGAACCCTAACCCGAACCCGAACCCTAACCCTAACCCGAACCCTAACCTGAAACCCGAACCCTGACCCTGAGCCTGACCTTAAACCCTAACCCTGACCCTAAACCCTAAACCCCAATCCTAACCATTTACCCCTGTCTAGCCCCCTCCTCTGGGCACTCCCACTGCCTTTTGGAGTCCAGCCATTGTCCAACCTGGGTAAAGTGAGCCTGGGGAGAGTCTGGACAGCAGAGTGGGGGCCAGATGAGCAAGATCTTCCAACCTGTTGGCATTTAGGGCCAAGCCATGTCTGGGGAAGCCACACCATGCCTTCACACAGAGCCCAGGCAGAGAGCATGTGACCAAGCCAGAGCCACATTGTGCCCCGGCAGCCTCGTGGCTCCATGAATAACAATGATGCCTTTTGTTTGGAAACTCTTTGTGGAGGCGTCCCATTTCACCACAAGCCGTGCTAAATGCTGGGCCTGCCCCAAGCCGCTCTGCCTTTTACACAGTCCAGGGCCAACTGTGCAGGCAGATGAAGGGCCCTGAATGCTAAGGGAACAGCTGACATTCCTGGGGCACTCCACTCTCTGAACTCCACCTTTGTTGCTAAGGAGAGTTAGAACTGTAGCTGAAAGTCTCTAACAAGAGCCAGGAGCAAGGAGAGGGAGAAAAGAAAGGTGAACATTTGTTTTCAGAGCTTCACTTCTCCGTCCAGCTCCAAAGTTGTCCAATTTCTGATCCTAATTAGAATCTCAAACCCTGTTGTTGTTTCTTTTAATGATCTTGGGAAATTCCTCAGAAGAGTCAGCAAGCACTTAGCAAACTCTTTAGACAGTGGGATGTGTACAGTTGTGCTTCTGCTTGTCTGAACATATCACACCAGGAGTCCTGAGGGCAGGCGTTATTCCAGCCCCCAGAAGGCATGATGAAGTTGGCAGAAGTACAAGTGGGCAAAAACCTGCTGGGTTTCTAAATGTTGACGTGGGGGCTCCATTCAACAGAGGTTTTCCAGGTGCCCGATGGGTGCTGAATCTGGGCTCTGTGCTGAGGATGGAGATGAGGAAGCCCTTGGCCCTGGCTTGGAGTGGCCTACAGACCTGCTGGGGAGGCAGACCACACATACTGAAGAGAATTGTGTGGGTCATTTTCTCTGGCTGTGACCTGCAGGGTACTGTTGGACTTGACATTGAGAACTAGATTCTAATGCTGGCTCAGTCACTTGCTAGCTATAAGGCCTCAGGCAAGTACCTTTACCACCCTGAGCCTCAGTTTCTCATCTGTACAACATGTGTAGTAATATCAACTTAGTAGGGTTACTGTGAGGAGAAAGAGCAGGTGAGAGAATGAAGAACAGAAATGTGGGGCACATGGCTTCTGCCCTCCAGCACCACACCACTGGTGAGCCAGCTGTTGGCTTGGAAGGTGTCTGTTCCTGGAATAGGCACTTAGCGATTTGGCCCATTGAATGGGGCAAGCCAAAACACATATAAGAATAAAGCAGTAAGCCAGTTTCCCCTTATGTAACATGTCTATGTGCCAGGTGTAGTGCTGGACAATTTGTAAGCATTATCTCCTTTAACATGAATGACTTTATGGGAAAGTAGTGAATTGCTCAGGGTCACACATCTGGGAAACTGTCTGCCTAGCTGGGGATCCAACCTGTGTCATGTCTTCAGTGTTTTTTCCATCTTTAGAGGCTGAGGCGTTTGGAGAGTTGGGGCCGACACAACTGACCGAGTCTCTCCAGGGCACACTGGAGGTTAACCAGTCACTGCACGCAGGGCCCCCTTCAGAAAGTTTCTACTAGAGAAAGCTAGTCAAGACGGCAGACAGCAAACTCTCTGCTCAGCGTTTATTACAAATTTGCAATGACACAGCCACCAGGAGTGTGCAGAACACCACTGATCTGAGAAAACAGAGAGAAAGGAAACAGATTTTCCACAAGCAAAGCATGGAGAAGTCCCAGCTTAGAGATCATAACAATATTTTGAAGCATAATGACCTCATAGCGTTTCCCTGTTTGTGTTCAGCAGTTTTCCTCACAGCCAGACATCATTTAACCCCTACTGTCACATTGTCACCTTGATATCTAAGCTTTCCTCTATGACTTAAGTTGAATTTTTCTTCTTTTAATATTCACTCAGAGAAAAACTAATGAGTATTTACTTCTGCAATGTGCAAGTCTTGCAAATGAACACACACACACATGCACACACGCACATACACAACTTGGGGTAAAGCAGTAGAAAATTCCAGACAGGACACGATCCAGGATCAATGGTCATTTGGCTCCAGAAGGCAGAGGTATTTAAAAATTATTCTTTGCTGTAGTGGTTGCCTTGCCTCCCTATGCCGTTTCACACAGACCGCATTCAAGCTTCCCGACACCCAGTGACAAAGAACGAGATGTGAGAAAGGTGCATCTCTGCTATGTGCAAGGAAGTGTCCACAAGGTATGGCTTTCAGTGTTTGTAGCGCTCATCTGAAGACGTGTGATTACTCTTGATTCACAGGTGAAGTAACTGAAGCTCAGGGGGATGACACAATTTTCCAAGGCTACTACCTACTAAGGGCCGGAGCTGAATAAGCTGGTTTCAATGCCTATTCTTTTTCTAGTCTCTGTTGAAGTGTGGGTGTGGTGGGTATGGTGGATCTGGCCAAGGCTGCCCCGCGTGTGGAAGCGTTCATTCCGCCCACACTACAGGAGGGAGGGTGTGCACAGCCTGTAGTCATGGAGCTCTGGGGCCTCCTTTCAGGCTGTGTTCCACATCAGTGGGGTCCCCTCCAGTGCGTGACCGGCGGATGCTGAGGCTATTGTCTATCAGGAGCTGTCCTAGATGTCGGACATAAAGAATTGGGAAGGTGAAGTCACTGCCCTGGGGACCTTACGAGAGGTAGTCTGATAGCCCCAGCTTCATGTTTAGAGCTTCCTTTCACCCCACTCCCTCCATTTCACCTCCCCACAGAGATGTGAGGTAGACCAGGGCGTTCTCAGCATCCTGTGACCAGTGGTTTCCAGAAGGCCCTACCACTCTGGCATTTATCAACAGGCACAGTCCAACAGTCTTCCTACCCGTCGCTTCTCTGAGCCTCTTTCCTCAGCTGTGAAATGAATCTTTGAAGCTGTGAAGCCTGCCTTATTGAACCGTCAGTGTTGGATGAAACAAGATACGTCGTTCCCAGCACACAGTAATTGCCAACACATATTGAATTATTTGATCTAATATTGTAATTTTCCTCATTCTGTGTTGTGACGACACGAAAAAGCCATGTTTGCTTACTTCTCTGACAAGGGTTCCAGAACATTAGGGAGGCGGTGAGTCCACCTCAACAGGCATTGCTCTCAGCAACTCAAGAATTACAAAAACTAAAGCATGTCAGACTAGAAGGCCCTTAGAGATCATTTATTTTAGTGCATCCAAAATACTTTGTTCTTAGTTTTGTCCATAAGATGTTACGAGATCCCCCACTATATAAAATGCTAAGAGGGGTACGCAGAGACCTTTCCATTGGATATTTTCCTTGACCTAACTCCTTCATCCCGTCTCCCACACAGATGTGAAAATCAGGATCCGGGACAGTCCTGGGAACACATCAGTCTCGAAGCCTGGGCCAGTGTTCCTTCAATGCACTCACGCTCCCTGTGTGGTGTGATGTGCGTGCAAGCGTGCACTGTGTGGGAGGTGCCAAGTCAGGGGATGTTCAGGACACAAGAGCCATGGAGACTGGTGGGAAGATTTCTTGAATTTCCTGCCGGGGGAGCAAAGAAGATGTGACCTACTTCCAGAATCCTTTGTCCCAGGAGCCCCTCCTCCTAACTTCTACCCAATACTCTGGGAAAATATCCCTGGAGACAGTGCAACCTCATCTGGTTTTGTGCTAGAGAAAATGCTGTACTTGGTCAGAAAACCTCACTTGGAATTCTGCTTATACTGCTTAGTAAAGATAATATATTGTTACTGCTTTTTGTTTTCTAACAATGTGCAAATCCTTCCCGGAACAGCGACTGGAGGAAGGGCGTACTTATCCAAAAATGGTGTATTTAGGTCTACTGTGTGACAGGCGTTGGTAGGAGTTGACAACATCTGACTTCTTTTTTTAACTATATGCAATTGCAAGGTTTACAAAATCACAGTTTCATCAGCAAGATAGGAAAAAATTATGTAATATTAACAAGGTGCTTTACTTAAACAGAAGGGATTTTAAGTAATTTGGTTCTTACCACATTAGCAGAGGAAACCTGGCTTTCTCCAATCACTTTCAGCAGCTTATGAGTGAGCATCATAGCCAGAAACCACATTCAAGTCCCAAGGTCTACACCAGCTTCACTGGCCTCCACTCTGACAGTGCCTATACCACTACACCCAACCAGGGAGAAACAGGAGTCTGGGTGCAAAGGGAGAAAAGGGCACACCTGTTTTCACAACGTGGGCCTATTGTCACAGCTCCTTTAAGTACCGAAGTGCTGGCTCCAAGAGCATATTTCCTGCAGAACAGAATCTCCGCGAGGCCTGGTCAATCTTCCGAGGGCTCAGGGCCAGGTCGTAAATGAGGTTGTAGTTGGGAATGAGGCGTCTGGCTCGTTCGTTCTCCAGGACCCCTGTCATTGGTGGACGGTGGAGGGAGGTTTTCAAAAGCGGACAGAGGCAACAAAAAAGAGAAAAAATGTATTAGAGCTTGAATGACTTTGGAGTGAACATAAAAGCTAACATTTTGAAACTTTAAGTTTTTAAAAATCAAGTGACACCTCAAAGAGATGATTAAAGTCCTGCACACGTGTTATAGACATCAGGAGGAAGTTGAGTGTGATTTGAGGGAAAGGAGATGAGGTCCAGCAAAATCGAGGGACAGACTCTACAGCAATTTAAACTTGTTCTTTGTAGCCATAAAGCTTTTAAGGCCAATTTTAGAAACAGGTGAGGTGCCTGCTAAAAACAATTCCTAATTGTTCTGGTTTATTTGTATCTTATTGAAGTGTTTAACTGACGTTTCTAAACATGCAGGGTTTAAACAGCTCCTTTTTATGCATTTCTGCAGATGTGTCTACTGTGACTCCCTCCAGCTTGCTGTGGTAAACTTGTGGCTCAGAGAGTAAGTCTGCGCAACAGAGGTGGCGGTCCTCATCGTCACAGGATGCACTCCAGTACCCACACCTCATCCACACCAACGCCAGCACCCCTGTGCTGTCCACGTTAAGGTCAGCTCCATTTGATAGCTGCAGAGAAGGGTTTAAGTGTAGAACACAGCATCAGCAAAGATCAGTGATTCATTCATAAGCCCCTGGTTGTGAGCTTATGGATGTCAGAACTGTGATTGCGCACATGGAGGATTTAGAGAAGGGGTCTGTTTTACCTCAGGAAGCTCTTGAACCAGTTGGGGCAATAAGATATGCAGAAAATTAACTAGAGCGCAACAACAACAATAATGATAGATACTTTAATGTAGACGTTGCCATGTTTCAGGCACCCTTGCAAGGACTTTACCAACATCAACTCATTGAATCCTACACGACAGAGGGAGAAACTGAGGCAGAGAGGTGGTAAGTCAGTCGCCCAGGGTTGCTTGAGTCCATGCATCAAATCACCACACTAACTTTCAGAATGTGGGGAAGAGATTATTGCAGGCTCACATTATTTCCTAGCTATGTTTCTTGAATTGAGAAGAGCTACCCTACAGGCACCAATGAAAGGCTTTAGGTATCTTTCATGGGGATAAAAGATACATGCTCTTCTACTGCCTTGTACTTGTGCAGCCGGCAATAATTATTCTAAAATCTTTCTCAGAGGATGATGTGGAAAGGCCCTGCCAGGCCATTAAGCCAGGATCTAGTGAACACCCATGGGCCCTGCTTCAGCTCCCAGTTCCGGGCGTATTTAAACGTGCAAGGACTGTTGAGCATGATGCCGCCCTCCGAAGAACTCAGCATGGGTGTTCGTAACAGCGCAGTCCTGGGATGATTTATTCCTTTTGGTTCTGTTCTGTTCCGTCTATCCCATCCCTCCCAACCCTCTCTTCCCATTCCAGTTTGCTTACTGCCTATTCTATTCAGGTTTGTTTATTGTCTCTCGCTCCTGTTAGAATGTCGGTCCTTTCCCCCACAGACATCTTCCTTTGAGGTGGCCAACTGCATCTGTGAAGTTCTCCGAATTGTGTGGCTGCTCTTGATCTGGCCTAGGTTGCAATCCTTACATTGGATTTGCTCAGACCCTGCCTCTGAAAATAGAAGTCACGGGCTTTGGAGTAAGCGTTTGACTGGGAAAAGGACTTTAACTTTTTAAGCCTCAGTTTCCTTAACTTTAAAATAGGGATAATTAAACTGCATGAAAACCAATAAAATAATAAGTTCTTAGAACAGTGTCCAGAATTAGTAAGCATTCATTAATACAGATATTATTTTAAGATAAATATAACAGTTATCAAGATTATTTAATGTATACATAAGGCATTTTAATAAGAATAAAGTATTAAAATATATATCATTTACTTTATATTGTAATTAAAAGTTAACAGTGATGTTAAAAAATACATGTAGGAATCATCACTGGTGCATTTGTGTATTTTCTACTGTCTCCTGAGCTTTACCACTGGGAGGAGAGTCCTCGTGTCAAACCTAAGTCATTCACTGAAATTTGTATCTGCCTAACTCACCGTCACTACGGGAGGCCCAGGACAGCTGCATAAAGTAGCCCTTACAATCCATCTCAGTGTTGGAAAGCCTGTCCTTGTCCCATCAGAGCCAAAAGAAAAGAAATAAGAAGAAGAACCTCTTTAACATCCATTTCATTTTACAGTTTACAAAGAATCTGCAAACCTCATTTGACCCTTTCGCAGATCCGGGAGGTATGTTTTAATATTATCAGTTCTATTTTATAGATGAGGAAACAGACTCAGAGAATATGAATGACTGGCTCTCAGGACTCAGCAATTGGTGAAGTCTGGACTTGAATCTAAGTCTTTTGGTAAAAACAAACAAAGAAATAAACCAACAAATCAACAAGCAAACCCTCATGCTCTTCCTGGTATGCTGTGGGAGTTTAGGACAGCAGGAAGTCTAATAGAACTGGGCTTGAATTATGGCTCAACTTCCCACTGGCTGCTATTTTATCACTTTGAGCTTAGCTTTCTCCTCTGTAAATAAAGACACTAATCCCTTCAGCATGTGGTCCATGTGAGGAGTTAGTGATGCAGTGTATGTAAAGTCCAGACCCATGCAGAGAATGTCTTTGAGAGCTCTCATTGCACTCTGCCTGTTTGAATTCTAAAATATTTTCTATCTAGCCTTTAGTTCACTGGGAAAATTGCAAAACTGCTATTCCCCCAAACATTTATCTCAACCACTCTTATTTTAGAAAACATGATCAGTTATTCATAGCCATTCCTTATTCCTTCCCCTCAAGGATATTTTCTTGACAATCTCCATTAGAGAATAAGCACAGAGTAGTTTCCAAGAAACACTAATTTGATGATGGATGGTCTGCCTTCAGCCTGGATGGTGAACGCCCTGGCCTACATATTTCCTCTCACATCATAAAGACAGTGATTCATCAGTGGGCACAGCAGGTATCATCTGCTCAGTGCCTAGAATGGGGCCATGGTGGTCTGCTAAATACTGTGGTTAATAAACCAACAAATTGACCTCAGTTATTCTCTTTCCTCATTAAAGATAGTTGTAGATGTTCCCAGATCTCACTGACACATTCCTTGGTGGTTGAGGAACTAACAAATTTCATAGAAACAGAGGAAACAGTCATAAATAGTGAAGAGGCCATGAGAAAGGCATTTAGAGTCTGCTAGAATCTGCCTCCAAAGTCAACAAAACTCTGTTTTTCCTTAGAACAGTTCAGAAGTATGAGAAAGGTCCTAGTCTTTGGGGAGTCTCTTAGCAACAAAGTTTATGATCCGTCATCCATCATCGCAACTCAGCATTTGTTTCTTTGGAAGTGTCTTTTCTCTCCACTCAACTTTTTGTTTTATTTCATTTTTGTTTGTAACACTATCGTCAACCTCATAGTCATGCTATTAATACCTAGAATCATGGTTATTTCAATAACCTTTTGATCTTTTTTCTAGTATCTTCCCTGTATTATCCATCTCAGCTTTCATTGTGTCCTCTGGTTGAGCCTTTGGTGGACCCTGGGTAGAGAATTCATGCCCATCCTACCCCTCAGGATTCACAGAAGGGTCTCAACTTCACTGTCCGATCCAACATGAAGTCCAGTCCTGTCTTGCTCACTCTCTTCCCCCTCACACTCATTCGCGTCCTCTAACCTTTGCAGAAGATGGCTTCGAACTTGGAATGCCAAACCAGGTATCCAAAGTCTACCTCTCCTCAAGGCTCAGCTCCAGCTTTCTCTTCCATGGAGCCCTCTCTAAGCACCTAGCTCACACTAGATGATGAGCTTCTTTTCATCTATTCTCTCTTTCTTTTGGACTCTTTAACTCTCATTTGTGTCTTCAATTATAATACCTTACTACCTGCTGTTTTCAGTTTTTGTTTTTTTTTTTAACTGGTGTTGAATTATTGCCAGTCTTTGTATCTTATCTAAAATCTCCCCGGGGTCAAAGATCATGTTCCATCCTTCCTGGTTTCCCTCCTGGTCCAGCCTCTAGCACAGTCTGGGCTCATAGCAGATGCTTAATAAATAATTTTCTAATTCAGCTACATGAATTGTTCATTTGAAATTTTTATTTTTCTCCTCTCTTTGGTATAACTATTAGAAGTCCTTGGGTATTGTAATGTAGTTATACTTCATGTGCTCTAGAATTAAGCTGCTTTGGAAATTCAAAACAAACTGAAACAAAAACAAAAACATATGGAGAGAATGAAAAGACAAGCATTGTTACTGTTATATGATTACTTCTAGAGTGTACCGATATGCACATTAACTCCTTTTTAAATGAGATGTAATCAATATCTAACATCGCATAAGTTTAATGTGTACAATGTGATTTGGTACATGTATATGTTGTAAAATTTCCACCATAATAAGGTTAGTTAACATATCCTTTACCTCACATAATTACCATTTTGTTGTTGTCATTGTTATGGTGAGAACATTAAAGCTCTATTCTCATAGCAACTTTTGAGTACACAATACAGTATTGTTAACTAGAGTCACTGTGCTGTACATTAGATCCTCAGAACTTATTCATCTGATAACTGAAAGTTTGTCCCCTTTAAACAACATCTCCCCGTGTCCCCTGAAAACCACCACTCTAATCTCTGTTTCTACAAGTTTCATGTTTTCAGATCCACATACGGTACACTAAGTCTTCATGAACCACAGCGTGTGATTAAGTACAACAATTCCAGCCTATGTGCTTTTGTATGTGCTCCTCCCTTCTGCAGGCCTCTGACCTGGTTCTGGATTACATCCTCTCTCAGTTGGACACTCCGATAGCCTCCTTCCTCCTTTTCCTGCTTTCAATTTCTCCTTCATTCTGCACAGAAACACCAACTTTCTGGAGTACAACTTGGTCAACCACTCCGCTGCTTAGAAACCCTCACTACTACTCACTATCTGTGAATGAAATCTTGATTTCCTGGTCTATCATCTAAGATCTTCCTGGATCTGGTCCCATCCTTTATCATCTGATATTCTTCTTAATAGTCCTTACATTTTAGACAAAGCAAACTCCTTGCATTGGGCTTCATAAACAACACTTTGCTTGGCTAACCTGCACCTTTGCCAGAAAGGGCGCTCTATTTCATTCCTTTGTATACAAACTGCCCTTGATCACTAATGATCAGTCCCACATTACCAGAGACTTCCTGATCACCTCATGGGAAGGAATCTCCTTTCTCTGAATGCCCACGTAGCACACCCTAATGGCATTTATCACCTCCTATCTTGGATTTAGTTATTTATGTACATTTATTTGTTTACTTATTGCCTCAAAAAAGGGTTGAACAGAATTGCTCAAGATGTCGGGGATAAAGAGGGAACATAGTCTACTGGTGAGATAGTAACAAGCTCTCAAATGAAAAATATACAATATATTAAATATGATACTGGATGTTAATCAACTCTAGGAAATCAGATAAAGGTGGGCCTAGGTCTGTCTGTGGAGTCTCAGAGGAGTGGAGCTTCAGTCCCAACATAAAATATGTTTAGGCATTAATTAGCCAGTTAGACAAGATGGGGAGTTGGCAGGGGGTGAGGTAGGTAGAGGAGAGGCAGACAGCTAAGATGGAGGACATGGCCACAGGAGAAATCACGTTTGAGGAAGGCACATTGTTCACTCTGATAGTCTAGGGTATGCTGAAAGAATAACAAGCGAAGGAGCAGAGACTGGTCAGGTATACAAGGACCAGGTTTTGCTTTGCTGTGAAATTTGGAGTTCCATCTGTTAGCAAGCATGCTGGAAATGTCAATCAGGAGAATTGCAAGATTGGACTGTGGGTTAGAACCAGGTGGTGGAGTGGATTCCTCCAGAGACACAGAGAAACTTTAAGCAACCTGGTGGAGGTTACACATCTGATCCATCTTTGTATTCCCTGATTGTGCTCAGCACAGTGCCAGGCACATGGTTTATATACAAATTGTATTTGTTAACAAGTGAAAGAAAATGAGATCTCCACTTTCAGACTAAAACACAAACAGAAGTATATTCGCTTTAAGCTTCACGCTTCACCTGTATTACTCAGATCACACAGGTAGAGGGCCTTTTCTAGCTTCCTGAACCTGTCGATCTATGTCTCCTCCTCTTCAGACCCGTTCTTCATCACTGGGCTCATGAAAGGCTGTGAGACTGGCCTGATCTTCAAAGAGCTCGGGGGATCTTTGGGGCTGAAGTCTCAGCAGGAGGGTTTTCTGGCTGCAGATCCTCTTCTGGAGTTTTCTACCAAAATAACACAACTATCTCACTGGCAACACGTTCACCACCTAGATCTTCTCCAGTCTCTTGGCCAAAGATGAGGCCGTACAACTAGCAATATTTATTGCAACGTCTGGCTTTGCAAAGCTGGGAGGATGGGTTTCAAGTCCTCAGTGCTGTAGGACTACATCTGTGAAGCCTTCTTGGATGTAAATTACTATGTTGAATGGTTTCTATCTTTTTAAGGGTGAAATCATGACTTTAATCAGTTTGCATTTCTGATTTGCACAAAGAAAAGGCTTTTGTAACCGGCTGAGGCTTTTCGTGATGTTACATACTCATGGGATCCTTGGAGGAGGGGCTTCAGGAAATGCTTCTAACTTCTCCGTGGGAAAACCTCTGGACAATGAGCCTGAGGTTCTTCACAAAGGGTGACTGAAAGAATAGTGACATTGTCTTAGGTTTGTGGGCTTATTATAATGGACCCTAAAGCACTTCTAGTTCTGTCTGTCCTGTTAATTTAACTAAGGAAACTGAGGCCCAGAGAGTGGAAGTGACTTACTGAGATCATGCAGTGAATGGAAGATGCAGAACTATAAGGAGGTGTAGAGGTTATGTCTAGCTCAGTTTGGTATCCTAATCTCATGTCTAGTGCAAAATAGAGATGCTTTTAGAATAACGAACAACTTAGTCCCGGCAGCCATGGCAGGCATTCTGTCACCTACCATGTACAGAGTGGCATCCATTGTTTTATCTTCACAACCTCACTTTTCCAGGAATTATGTCTCCTGCTGAGCCACATGGTTATTGAGAGAACAGCCATGCCTAAGTGTACAGTGCAGGACTGGGTGTCTAATGCAAACGGACTGGTACACCCATTGTCCAGTGATTTGGGAATGATTTGTGAGGGATGAAAACAGAGAGATATACAAACAGAGATCATTCTGTGTGAGAGGTAGGAATGCTCACAGGTTGTCTTCACTGTGTACTGGAAACAAGAAAAAGCTGGTCTGTCCAGAAAAATAGACAGAGACAGAGAGAGAAAGTATGAAGCTAACAGCAGAGAGAAGAGAAAATATATAGGAAATCATGATGAAGTTCAAGTCCCTGATTTTACTTCATTGTCACATGTTACATTTCCATGCTCAGGTAGCATAATATGCTTCCCTATACTTCCAATAAATTTAGCAGAGTTTGTTCTCTTAATTGCAATCCAAATAATCTTAACTAATTCACCATAGAATTATGCCTCTAACTTTTGAAAACCATCTGTGTTCCCCCAACTTTCAAATACCTGAATTTCTCCAATATAGGAGCTTTGTCTCAAACTTCTCACATAGAAAGTGTGAAAATCCCATAGCTCTAAAGAATAGTAATTGCAATTAGAAGCCAAGTTTTCAGTTGGTTAACAAACTTGGATTAACCTGCTGCTGGGGACTGTGGAGAATTGTTTTGTTTGAAATAATAGAATGGTATATGAAATGGTACCCACGTGGATGACCAGCAACCAGTAAATTTTAAGAGATTAATATAAAAGAATTCTACTTGGATAAAATCAACTTTGGGAAGGGCTGAAAGCTTTCATAAAGCAAATAGAGCAGTGATTCTTATACTTTTTAGAGTTTTGGATCATTTTAGAAATCCAATGAAACTTTAGATAGTCTACCCAGGCAAATGCACATTTGCATACAGGATGATTTTAGAGAGTTCAAAGAGATCCTTGGATCTGAGAAAGTGATTTTAATAATTTTCTATTTCTTCAGATAGATCAACATTCTCTTTGACCACTAAAGACAGGGAAAGGGGGAATTTGTATGAACCTGAATTAGGCTGAACTAAGTAAGTGAGTGAGTAACTAGCTAACTAACTAACACACTCTATACTTTTTTGGTCCCACTGTGTCAGGAGCAAGTCCACATTCCTTGATTGGCACGTAAGACCATTCAAGTTCTTGTTCTTGCCTGTCTTCTTACTCCTACATGTACATCTTTCTCTCCAGCCACATAAAACCAGAAAACACAAAGCTGTTTTGTGCCTTGTGCATGCTGCTCCCTCTGCTGTAAAAGCCCTTCTTGCCACTTATGCCTTGGATGGTTGGGGTCCTACTCATCCTTCAAGATTCAACTCATATTTCGCTTCTTGTGGGAAGCCTTCTCTTACAGACAAGCTGGCTGAGGGGTAATTCTTTGAGGCCCCTTTATCCACCTCAGCACTTATTGTGGATTGTTGTAATCATTTATTAGAATAACTCTCTCTTCTACCAGAGATCTGGAGGTGGGCCGGTGAATAGTCATTCATGTATCCTCAAGGTCTGGTTAGTGACCAGGGCATAGCTGGTTCTCAAGACATGTTTACTGAATGAACAAGTGAATGCATGAATGATTTTCCCTGGGACAATAGGAAAGTTTCTTTACCACACTTCTGCTTCAATTCCCCTTTCTAAAAAGTGCGACAATGAATCCTACTTATGCAGGAATGTGACACAGATCAATTACTGCAGAGATGCCATAAAATCTTCAAAAAAGAGGCAAAATAAAAGAGCAAGGTGTATTTTCTATAATCTTATTCACATTCAATGAGAACAGACAACACTCAATGACAAAAGCATTTGCTGTTGTCTCTTGCATGGCAAGAGGCTTGCCAAAATGGATGCTATTTTCTAAAATATTTCAAAGTGTAAAGTGCATGAAGAGGTGTCCCGTCATTTTAAGATGAATTATGTTAAAATCCAGGCATTTAAAAAACGACAACGACAGAAAAACTCAGGCTGCTTTTCAATTCTGTCTGTATCTTTTCCTGGCTAAGTGCATGGAATATTAAAACAGAATTCAACTGCTTGCCAGATATTTTTTTAAGTCAAAGAGCACATTACATTTTAAAATGTGATGTCTGGGAAAAAGGTTGCCCTCAGTTTCTGGAAGCTGAATTTAAGATGTTGAAATAGGTCTCAGAACCACACTTTATTGTGATGGCAGTGGGAGGATTGGTCACAGGCTTCAGAACTAGTGCACATGCTACAGGTCCAACTTCTTGGGGCAGGTGCCAAGCCCATCACCAGGTGGTAGACAGACGTTTCTGCAGGCATATCAGCTCAGACAGGAACCAGCCCACACCTGAGGAGTTTTCTACCTCCCTTCTCTGCCAGAGGAGACTCTCAAAGTCAAAGACAGTGTGATGTCAAGGCAGTGGGTGGAAATAAAAAACCAAGAAGGGGAGTTAGCCCCATGGCTGAGTGGTTAGGTTCGTGCGCTAAACTTCAGCAGTCCAGGGTTTCGCTGGTTCAGATCCTGGGCACAGACCTAGCACCACTCATCAAGACATGCTGAGGCTGTGGCCCACATAGCAGAATTAGAAGGACCTACAACTAAAATACACAACTATGTACAACTACGTACTGGGGGGCTTTGGGGAGAAGGAGAAAAAAAAGACTGGCAACAGATATTAGCTCAGGGCCAATTTTGAAAAAGAAAGAAGGAAGGACAGAAAGAGAGAGAGAGGGAGGGAGGGAGAGGGAGGGAGGGAGAGAGAGGGAAGGAGGGAGAGGGAGGGAGGGAGGAAGGAAGGAAGGAAGGAAGGAAGGTAGGAAGGAGGGAAGGACGGACCCAGAAGGAAGGACCCTACCCAGCATCAGAGAATAGAAGGCAAAGACAGGTGAAGCTCTTCCCCAAGCTCCACACACCCGGGTGCATACCATATGTTCAGTTGTGCCTTGAGGCATCTCAGGAATGTCAGGCTGCACTGGAGTGGCAGAGGTTTCCTTTCCTTTCTTTCCTGGGAAAGAAAGAAAAAATGGAAGGGTTAAGTTTGGTCTCTTCATTGTAACACTTACACCCAGGCAAATAAAATGTTGAGGCCCTTCTATGTGGTTGGCACTGTGTTAGGCGATGGAGATATGGAGGTGGATCAGAAAGATCTGGTTCCTGCCCTGATGGAGCTGACAAAGGGGAGGTAGGTGCTAAACAATTACTCAAAATTATTATTTAATTACACGCTACCATAAACACAACAAAAGAAGACGTGAAAATATTTTGTTTTAGGCTAGGGGTGGCAGCGGTGGAGAACCAGAGAAGGCTTCTTGGAGGAAGTGACACTTAAACTGTGGATCCAAAGGATGAATAGAAATTTCCAGGCAAAGGCGATGGTGGGTGTTCACAAGGAGCAGAGAGTTCCTGATCAGCCGAGACAAGAGCCTGTAGAACTGCCCTGAATCAGGAGGACTTGCACAGTTTGGGGAGTGGGCAGCGGCTTCTTCCCATGGCCCCACCTCTTAACAGAAAACCAGGCATTTCTTCCCCATCTCTCCACACAGGTGTATGCCTCAAAGATCAGGCAAAACCTCTCTCTTCTACCTTCCCTCTCCTTTCAATTGTCAGAGGTTCTGAATGGGATGACGTCTGAACAGCACCCCTCACCCAGGGATTCTAGTGCCCAGATCCTTCTTGCTCAGGCTGCTGTCTTCACAAACAGAAGAATTTCCTTAGGATGTGGGAAAAAGACTTGAAGACTTTCTGCTGAAATCCTGTAAGGCTTATTGTGGGCATCATTCATTCACCACTCAGGATCTTCATCAGACTTGGCAACTGTATTTTACAAATCCGTGTGACAACCACACAGCACAGATTTCTGTGAGCATCAATATTTAGTGCATAATTCAAATATGCCACTAACAAATACATACTGTTTCTGAGTAGGGACAATGTGATTTCATAATCTTCTCTGAAGCCCCAGTCCCAGCATTAGAATAAGTGCTCAATGTATGCTTGTTGACTGAGTGAATGACCATGTGCCCTAATTTGGAGTTTAGAAAATAAAAACACTGAACATATAGTTCTGTTTCTCCAATTCCTTTTTAGGCCCTTGGAGAGGAGAGATTTTCCTCTGCATTTCTTTATCTTCCCACACCTAACCCACATGCTATATAGAGTAAAACTTAATAGATGCTTAAGGAGGATCATGATGGCAGCCAGGTAGGGCAGCCCTTCTGAGGCAGATCTGATTTAGTCCACTGAAAATTTAAGTTGTCTTGGGGATGGATCATCACCGAGTAGCACTGGTCTCTGCTTTTTCATTCAGTATGTGAAGGAAAAGCTTCCTGTTTACTGCAGGTGAGAAAGGTTCAAGCTATTCTGAGTCATAGAGTTCGAGAGTTAAGGGGATTCTAGAAACAGTATATAGTATACAGGCAGGAAGATGAACTTTGGTGTCAGCCCTGAATGCTAATCTTGAGTCTTCCCTTTCCCAGCTGCAAGCTTTCAGCTCCTAATTTTGCCAGTTGTGAAAGGGGAGAAAACCAGTGATTTACAGTAATGTTGTGGAGATAAAAAAAATTGCGTACCTGAAATACTTAACACAGGGAGGATGCTCAAAAAAGGATTCATTGTTTGTTGTTGTGTCATTATTATAACACCTTAGGCAAGTCTAGTTTGCTTAATTGAACACTAATTACGATGGGCCAGGAATTGTTCTGGGCACTGTTCACATGCATCATCCCTGTTAGTATAAGATCTAGATCCTAGACGTTGTCCCAGGCCAGTTTCTCTGCACTTTTAAAAGTTTCTTTAGAAGAAAATACACACTAGTCTCCCTGGTCTCCTTTTGGCTTCCCTTTCTCCCCCTAACATCTACAAGCATGGAAACAGGTCATGGTTTGCACACGTAAAAATCGTTTGAAAAATCTGAGGCAGAGCTGATTTTTTTTTTTCTTTCTAGCACAGCAGGAAGGATAAATAATAACCATCTGTGTAGTCTGCCAGTTGAAGGTTTGTACTGGAGGAAATAAGCCAAGCTGGCTTCTAGAGATTTCCAGGTGTTGGAAGGGCCAGGTTTTACAATGCTTCCATGAGTCTGATGGTTACACAGCCAGCCCTACCATAAGCCCACTAATGACTGGAAATTAGTGGTCTTGAGTGCTGGCTGCATATCAGACCCACCTGGGGAGCTTTAAAAATTGCCAATGCTTGGGTGTCACACCAGGACAATTAAATCAGAAACTCTGGAGGTGAGAACTGAGCTCAGTGAGTGTGAATAATTCCCTAGGTAATCCTAAGGTAAAGCCAGGGTCCACAACAACTGATTCAAATAAAGGCTTCTGGCCTCATTGGGCCCACTGAATGAAGCTTCATGAGGAAACTAATATATATCAAATATCTATACATGCCAGACATTTCCCACAAGTTTTCTTACTTGAAGAATAATGCTCTATGGTAGAAAGCATTTCCATTTGACAGATGAGGTAACAGAGGCAATAAAGGCTTCAGTTTCCTGCTTAAGACTAGAATGGTGGGGTTAGGTCTCGGATTCTAACTCATTCATTCATTCAACAAACATTTGTTACGTGCTTACTACATGCTGGGCACTGTTTTAGGCACCATGATACAACAATGAGCAAGAGAGAAACTTCTCATGGAGAGTACATTCCAGTGGTGAGAGCAAACAGAGACATAAAATGATGTCAAATAGGGACAAATGCTATAAACACAACCAAAGCCAATTATGGGGGTAGATAGAAATGCAGTTGCTATTTTTGATAGGGAATTCACCAAAGGCCTCTCTGAAGTGACATTTAAATAGAGTCATGAATAGAGAAACAAGGGAGAAAGCCATGCAAATGTCTGGGGAAAGAGCATTCCAGGATAAAGCTCTGGGGAGAGCAAAGGCCTCAAAGAAGGGGTGTTTGGTGCATTCAAGCAACAGCTGAGAAGAGAGTTGAGCTGACCCAGGATGAAAAGGGAAGAGAAGCGGGTCAATTGCCATGCCATGTGATCTCAGTTGGTTTTTTTTTTCTGGCTTCTAGCATTTGTTCCTCCTCTGGTGATTACCCACTTCTACTGTTAGCAACTATATTTTGCTTTGTGGGGACCACTCCTCCCCCATCCCAGTGCTGTGGTTTGGTAAATCTCTTCATTGTCTGTACCAGCTGAGTTGGGTTTTCTGTCCCTTTGTATATGTATTTCTAAGTAGGAATTACTATAGGTATTAAAAGGGAAGCCAAATTCTTAGCCATTTTTCTGTGACATCTTGAGGTATAGATCTTCAAGAAATGTTTGAGGGGATCAGTGAACCTCTGAGGCTACCTTCATTCCCTCCTAATTATCCCCCATCAGCAGCCATGCTATAGCCCTGCTCCATGATTGCTGCTTCTTCCTCTCCCTCACTCACAGGCCCCACAGTGAAGAGATGCAAAGTTGGGCCCACACTTCATTATTGTGAAATAACACTTTAGAACTTAGACCATACCACGTTTGGTGGGCTCTAAGCTGTTTTTTATTTGTCTTAATGGGAATTCATAGCATTTCTCAGATCTGTGGCTTGAACTCTTTCACCACTTTCAGAAATTTCTCAGCTGTAATTGTTTAAGATAGTGCTTCAGCTCCATTCTCTTCCTCCTGTCCTTCTGCGACTTCAGTTACATGTGTGCTGGGTATTGTCAGCATTTCCTACATGTCTCTTGTACACATTTTTTGTATATTTCATCCTCTTTTCTCATTCATGCTTCAATCAGATATTTTCTACTGAACTATATTCCAGTTCATTAATCCTCTCTTCAGCTATGCCCAATCTTCTGTTATACCCATCTATTGAGTTTTAAAAATTTAGTTTATATTTTTTAGTTCTAGATATTCCATTTGATTCCTTTTATAGATCCAAATAATCTTCTGAAAAGTCTCCATCTTGTCATCCATTTTCTTGAATGTATTAATTATAGTTATTTGAAAATCCATGTCCTGTTTTGCATTATTCATGGCCATTTCTAATTGAATGCTGGGAATTTTCTATAAAAAAATTCTAGAGATTTTGTATGATGTTATCTTCTTCTACAGAGGATTTTCCCCTCCCTCCTGTCTGATAGTTTGATTTGAATTCCAAATAACAGGCCTCAAAGAAATGTTATTCTGCATTTTATCTATTCTTCTAGTTGTTCTTGTCAGGAAGTTTTGCCTGCTGTAAACAAGTCCATTCTAGTCATTAGTCTAAGTCACAGACATTAAGTGTTTATGTGATAATCAAACGTGCATTAACAAAGAAGTTCATAGGATTTTCCTGATTCCAAATGAGATAAAGTTTACAATATAAGGCAGTACAAATGAAAATGAGTCATTTTAATCAAGTCATCATAGAATCTTTGAGCGAGAATGGACCCCAGGGATGAGAAAATTCACAATTCTACCCACACATAATGAGTGGTTTTCTTTAGTTTCTCTATGATGCACCTTCTTTCGTTTTATAACATTTACCTGTTGGGCTTGAGAACAGGCAAATTAAATGGCTCACTCATTGCCTAAGAGCAGGCAATCATCATAGCTCCAGCAACAGGAGACACTTGTAAGGAGATAGAACTACACTCTTATGGTTTTCGGAGTTTGTCAGTGTCTGTCCAGCAGTAGGGAAGAGCTACTACTATAAGGCTTTTCAATATTGTCAGCACTAGCCATGCATGAAAACTCAGAAGTCAAATGAACAGCCACAGGACACTCCTTCAGCTGTGGCAGCATTGACCACATGGTGCTCTGTCAGAGATGCAAGTACCAGCCACCTTTGTGACTGAAGGACTGAGCCTCAAACTGTGTGGTGTTCCCAAAAGCAGTCACATGGCCTCCAACACCATATCTCCAGCTGCTTGTCATGTTCCTGGAGATCCTAGAACTAGCTGTGTGGTAGCACTAGCTCCTCGATTCTGCTAATACTATGCCTTTCTTTATGTCCTCTTAGCCCTAAAGACAATGGATGCTTCCTACAGCTACTGATCTCTGAGTTACCTCTCTGTTGGGGGTTGAACTGTGACACCCCCCCCCCCCCGCCACCACAGGTACCAATAGTACCTGTCGATGTGACCTTATTTGGAAACAAGGTCTTTTTATTTGTTATCAAGTTAAGATGATGCCATTCTGGATTAGGGTGGCCTTAAGTCCAATGAAGGGTAGTGTCTTTATAACCAAAAGGAGAGGGAGATTTGGATGCAGAGACACGAAGGAGGCTCAGAGGAAGGAAGACCATGTGAACAGAGGCAGGGTTTGGAGTTACAGGGACACAGGCCAAAGAATGCTGGGGGCACCCAAAGCTGGAAGAGGAAGGAAGGACTTTTTCTAGAGCCTTCAGAGGGATTGTGGCCCTGCTGATCTGACTGATTTCAGACTTCGAGTCTCCAGAACTATCAGAGAATAAATACCTATTACTTTAAGCCACCAAGTTTGTGCTAATTTGCTGCAGCAGCCTTAGGGAAATGAACACCCTCACTATCAGTCGTCCAATCCGGCATAACCAACCGTCAACCCCCTGTTGTAAAGTCCCTGTGTTTGAAATACCTTGTAAGGTTTCTCTTTTTCTGCTGGAATACAAACTAATATACCAACCCCCAACCCCAAACTCTCAGAACCTTGTATTTTGATCCCAATGGGAATCAGTGAACAGTTGATGAGTGTAGTAAATAAACTGCAACAGCAGATTAAGACCAATGCATATTTTTTCACCTGTCACATTTACAACTTGCTAATTGCTAAATATTTTGCCCAATTTATCCTTATAATTTCACTTAATAATATGTCTTGGAAATATTCCTGTATCAGGCCAACCATATTATTTTACAGCTGCATAGTTTTATCAATTGAATAGACTGTAATTTAATTAAATGGCCCCTGAAGGATCTTTTTACTATTTTCATTTTTTAAAACATTTAGCAAAAAGAAATTCCTGCACTAAACGTGTATATAAATCTGGGAGAATTTTTTTGTGAGATATCAGTAAGATAAGTACCTAGCTGTGGGATTCCTAGACCTAAGGGACTATGTGACTGAAATTCTAATAAATAATACCAACTTCTTCTATAAGTGTATATATCAAAGGGCTATCACCAGAGAATGCTTCATGATATAATAATATTTGGAGAATTATGCCTTTTATGATCCAACTTGCCTAAAAGAACAGCCATTAAGGCAATCATCACTTGTAGTTTTTCTTCGCTGGTGAGGTATTTACATTTCTGGGAGTGACGAGACGAAACCCAACAAGGAAACCGCTGAAGCAAAGCGGCGTAGTCAACAACAGTTCTGGATAACAGGGGTTCTCTCAGGGAACAAAATGACAAATTAACTGAACTCACCTGTAGGCAAATCAGAGGACAAGTCAGAGGAAGCTCTGCTCAGCAACTCAACAAAACTCTGCCATCTGTGCAAGGAAAGGAGACATAAGAGTGTCAATCAACATCATTGTGCTGAAAGAATGTGCAATAAAGCTTGAAGTTAAATTGATAGCAATATTGAAGGAGTTTTTAATGCCTGTATCATTCAGGGTGCATGCAGGAAACAGAAACTGCTTTAAGTATCTCCACTAGAAAGGACTTTAATATAGGAAATTAGACGTCCACAGAATTATTGCAAGGGCTAGTAGAATGGAGGTTGGTGTTGGCTGCTAGGCTCAGGGTCAGCCCTCAGCAGATGTAGTCCAGAGATGAGGGAACTGCAGGAAATTCTGGCTGATGTCTCAGTGCCCCTGACTATGAGGTTGGTGACTAGGCAGTGCAAAGTGCATTCTGGCCACTGGAAAGATTAATGCCTGCCAGGGCCTGCCGTTGCTACTAATGCAGGAAAAATAAATAACTATATGAAATGTCCCTGCCGCCCTTCACCACCCCTTCTGCCTTTCAAATCTCATGAAACTGCATCTCACTGATGGAACTTAAATCAGTTCTAGAACCATAGTGTCAAGGGAGTTTTGGAAATGTTCTTTTTAGCCCTCACAAGTATGGGGAGTACTGCAACACAGGAAAGAATGTAGAAGGTGATAGAAATGGGTGTTGAGTGCAAATAGATGACATTTAGTGAAGTCCCCAAGCAGGAATTGCATTGAGCACTACTTGTGCATGTGACAATCAGGGAGTCATTTACTGCTTATGAGTACTTTAGGAATGCTTTGTTAGTGAAAATCACTTATCCTTGTTTGTCCAGTAACCGTTTTCCATTTATATATAAATACATTCTTCTCTGGGATCATGGACTACTGTCAATCTCCCATCCCCTCCCTTAGCCTATGCTGTGGCCACCTTGTCTAATTAACTCTATCACTTTCTCCACCCATCCTTCCCTCCCTTCTTCCCTTCCTCCCACTCTCTGTCTCTGTAACTCTCATTAATTTTTGGTTCTGGTTCTTCCTGAAGTTCTATTTTACCTCAATTTTATATGTCATTCCATATCCTTTCAAAAATATTTCTTTTGCTTATGTTAACAAAAGGAAGTTTCTGTTTCTAGCAACCAAACTGCTACTGGTAAGAATTTCTATCTCCTTTTTACCTATCAAAAGTCAAGCAAGTTGTGAGATATATGTCTTGGGTTTTCCAGAGGCGTTCTAATGTCATGTGATCTTATTCTCTTCAAATAAAAATGATTCATTAGATTTTTAACTAGTTTGCTTTGTTTATACCTCATAAAACTTTTCCTAAAGATGATATCACAAATCAGAAAATATGGCCTCCTGAGCTTCATGTCACTTTGGACACATGAATAGGTAAGGCATAGGTATGCAGGGCCACAAGCTGGGTAGCGGATGACCATATCAGCTGCTGAAGGCCTAGGCAGGGAAGAGAAACTGATGAAGTAGCACTCTCAAGAAACATTAATAATCATATGAAGATCTGATATTAGCTCGGATCTGGAAATGAGCTAAAGTAGAAGTAGCTCCTGCCTTCTACACTTTCTGTAATTTCTTTCCAGGCCCTCTTAGGAGAGACAGGCTTATAACACTTTCTGACCCTCTGAGAAATGACAACAATGCAGTAACAAAATCCCAGATCCATTGATATTTCCACATTCATAACATTTATTTTTCAGAGCTGCTAGGAGTTACCAAATATGACATAAAGCCTCTGAACAAAATGGCACTAGAAACCCTCTTTCCCCTTCTTGACTGTATGCTGATAGTAGGGGAAGGAGACGGTGGGAAAATTTTCTGAGTGTTGAACTTGGACATTGACCAATTTAAATGGTAAATGGTGTATATAACCAATGAAATCCTTCAGATCCTCTGAAAAAGATATTTTCTTTCTTCCATATTCTTTACATTAGCCTAGGGCCTTCAAAAAGCCATTAACAGCTTCAATGTGAGAATGGGTTCCGGTAGTGGTAACAGGCCCTGTGATTATAATCACAGAAGCAGGTGCCAAACTCCCAGCATTGAGTCAGAGAGGTCAGGACTGGAGGACGGGGTGTGCAAGCCTGATTCCAGATTCAGGCAGATCTGAGTTCAAATTCCAACTTCAACTGAATTTATCAAATCAAAACAGCCTCTAGCGAGTGTTCAGAGCACTTTGTGTGCATTCTCTCATTTAATTGAGACAACCCTCCTATGACGACACAGTGATCAATGGGGTAGCCAGGATTTAAATCCTGGCTGGCTGACTCCAAGATCCTGGGCCCTTAACCTTTGTACTGTAGGCCTTACACCAGAATGTAATCAACTTGGCTCTGGCTATATTTTTCCCTTTGAAATTCCATGAACAGAGCTCCATTGTCTGACATTTATTAATGCAGAAGTTTGAATTCAGTCTGATTTTGTTCATTTATAATTAATTTTTCCCCTTTATTTCCTTTCATTTAGTTTTGTTATTGGCCTGGATCCTTAAATAAATTTCTTTGTCTTTGTAATACAAAAGTTTTGTCAGAATACACATGGATCTGTTTTTTCTTTTTTCTTTTTTGGAGGAAGATCAGCCCTGAGCTAACATCTGCTGCCAATCCTCCTCTTTTTGCTGAGGAAGACTGGCCCTGAGCTAACAACTGTGCCCATCTTCCTCTACTTTATATGTGGGACGCCTGTCACAGCATGGCTTGCCAAGCGATGCCATGTCCGCACCCAGGATCCCAACCAGTGGACCCCGGTCCACAGAAGTGGAACGTGCGAACCCAACTGCTGCGCCACCAGGCCAGCCCTGAATCCTTTTTTTCGTATTTTTTTTTAAAGATTTTATGTTTCCTTTTTCTCCCCAAAGGCCTCCGGTACATAGTTCTGCATTAGTTGTGGGTCCTTCTAGTTGTGGCATGTGGGATGCCACCTCAGCATGGCCTGGTGAGTGGTGCCATGTCTTCACCCAGGACTCGAACTGGCGAAATCCTGGGCCACGGAAGCGGAGAGTGCGAACTTAACCACTTGGCCACTGGGCCGGCCCCTCATTTTTTCTTAATTTAGCTTTGACCGCAGTGAATTCTCTCAATCTCTACACGGAGGATATTTTCTTTTTTCCCATCTCCACAAAGTGTCTTCAGCTGTGATTTTTGTTTTTCCATCTTGTCCAATTTTTCTAGTTTCTTATTCCACAATGCTAAGTTCTTATAGTTTCAATCTCTATTTTCCTTCTTCTGTATCTCCCATCCTCTATCCTTTTCTTCTCTTTTTCTCTAGATTTTGTAGAAGCCTGTCAAGGTTCACATTTTCTCTAGTGTTAATTTTGCTTTTTATTGATTCCTGGTTATTTCTTTTTCTGTAAATAATATTTTATTGGAACCAAGCCACTTGTTATATGTTGTTTTGGCTACTTTCAGGTTACAATGACATAGTTGAATAGCTGCAACAGACTCTAGACTCACGAAGCCTAAAACGTTTACCGTCTGGCCCCTTATAGGAAAGGTCTGCTGACCTAAACATTTAACATGAATGTCTTAATATCACCAAACATCTAGCAATATTCATCTTTCCTTGATATTCTCATTTTTTATTGAGATATAATTGACATATAACATTCTATTAGTTTCAAGTTGTACGACATAAAGGTTTGATATACATATAAACTGCAAAATGATCCCCACCACAGGTCTGGTTAACACCCATCGTCACATACACTTACAGTCCTGGTCACCTCTTAATTCTGGGGTAGAAATTTCAGTTTCCTTGAACTATCCATATTTCACCAAGTTATTTCTAATTTATTCCATTCACTTTTTGTGCTTTTAAAATTTTATTTCTTACAGCCTTTAGTCTCATTATGCTTATTACTTTCCAAATAATTTCAATAGAGGCTTCTTATATCCTATGGAGAACAATGGCAGTTTTCTAAAGGTTTTCTACTTTCTAGAGTAAATTATTTTCAAAAGCTTGTTGGTATTTGGAGTCTGAAAGATTGTGATTCCCTCTCAATGTTCTGAGGTATTTTTAAACATCAGGGCTCGCACGCTGAGGTTTTCTTTCTGTTCAGCATCAAATGAAGAACTGATCCCGTTCAGCACAACCCAACAGACGACTGGCACAGATTTCCCTCAGCCCTGCTCCCTGCTCAGTAGGGTGAGTGATAATGGACGCTGATGTCTGGTACCCCTCGGTTGGCACTCCGCTTTCAGGAATCACACTTCACCAGATGCACCACCACAGCCAGGTTGTCCCCTTCCTGACTTCCTGCTCTGTCATTCTTGGGAGTCGTGCTCTCTGCACAGGCACAGGAAAGCAGTGTGTAGGTAAGTGTACGTGTGTGTATCCTTGGGCATGGAGGGGAAGAAGGGAAACCACATTCAGGAGCCCACGGAAGGCAGCACCTATGTCATTTTCTAATCCGTTAAGATGCGAGGCCTCCAAATCAAGGAGAAGGCTGTGGTAACGGGACAAAATGTCTTTTGTCTTCTGTACTTCTCACAGGCAGCAGGGCAATGCTCAGGGCCAACAAATCATGGATTTTCCCAGATTCCATTTATTCATAGCTAGTGCAGATTCCTTCTAGATTCTGACACTAGAGTAACTATTAGTTTTTGCTACTGGTGTGTTTTTTGCCTCTTTATTTGTTCATAGAAATGCTAACCATTGGTTGTTAAGCAGATGACATTTTATACAAAATGTCTTACGTATAAACACGAAACAAAACAAAAGCCTGAACACACTAAACACAAAATGTGGGCAATTTTATAGAAGCACCCTTGTGATCTTGATGAAGTTCTTACAGGGAACGTGTTTTGCAGTGCTTTGTACAAGCTTGAATCAGGGGTGTGCTGGTGTTTATATTCCAAACCCATCACCCTTCTCCACCTCATGAGACACTTGCTCCAGCCATAAAGAACGGTTTGTACTTCTCCGAACTCATTATGCTTTTGCTTGCTCTTCTGCCTTAGTATACACTGCCTCTTCTGTCTCTGACATGCCCCTCCCATCTCTCATCTGGTTGGTTCCTCCAAGTCCCCCTCGCTCAGCTGAGA